ACCATTTTGGGGTCTGTCATGTCAGTACAACAGCATGGAATGACCTACCAGAAGGAAGCAGAGGCAGAAGCAAAGCAGAGGAGACTAAAAGAAGCAATAAAGAGTAAAAAGTACACAGGCATCTAGTTCCCTCCAGAAGTCAGCAAGTTTGCTATATAAATAACCAGGCAAAATGCAAAGTGTCAGACAATACCAGTGGGAGCTACCATAACACATTTCAGCGGTCTGAAGAAGACAAAGCAGATAGACTGGGAAGCAATTCAGGACACATGCAGTGTGGCTACCTGTCTTTGGACTACCTCCAACACATCTAGGTACACACTATGCAGACAGAAAGGCGTCTTAAAAGGGACATGCCCTCATATAAAAATGACACCAAGGGATTTTAGCAGCATTTACTGTTAAGTAAGATCAAGGACACAATCGGGAGGGTTAACAGCAATGAAGGGATAAGCTTCTGTGTTGGTCACATGGAGAGCAAGACAATTTCGAAGGAAATGGTAGAGCAAAGAAGCAGTAAGCTGTGTGAGCAGGAAAAGGGGAGAAAACTTTTGAACTGCTCCACTGGAAAAAGGCAAATGCACAAGAATAATAAAGGGTGACAACATGGCTGTCAAAGAACATGATCGATGAGAAACAGTTATTCTGACAGGGTAAGAAAGTGAACTCAAACTAAATCAGGCACGGAAATGGGAAGCAGCAGCAAGAAACCTAAGGGTTTATCTCACAAAAAGGAAAGGACTAAAGAAGTAAAGGCTTACACTTGAGAATTAAGGAAGCAGCCATGAAGAGAGCAGAGGACGGTATAGGACAGAAGCTCAAAGGAGAGGAAGACAGTGAACACAAGATCAGGTAATACAGAGGAGGCTTAAGAAAAAAAAATAAAATTGTTCCTCATCTCTCATCATTCAGACATTTGCTAATATTGGGCAAGGAATCCAAGCATGAGAGCAGAATGATAGAAAAATCATCAGCACTGAGCTATGAACAGCAGACAACTTTTGAGATCATTTCAAGGCAGGGCAAGAATATTGTGAAGCTGGCGACCACAGGATCACCTGAGGTTAAGGAGACGGAGGAGAACCGCAAAAACGATGCTGCTCCTCCCAGGCAGGCTGAATTGCTCGCTACCAGGAGCATAGGCATCTTCTCAGGGAAGAAATTGCGAAAGATATTTAAACAGTGACCTCTAATGGACAAAGCACACAATACCGGTATTTCCCCGGCAACAGAAACACTCCAGGTATGACCAGGTAATGACACAAAAGCTAGAATCTCCAAATAGGATCCCCAGATCATTACAACACCAACTAATCATCTCAGGCAAGTAAGTCAAATAACTGTTACAGAAGTTACAAGTCATCAAAAACTGACCGCTTATCCCCCAAAATAAGTGAAAATAAACCACATCAAGTTGTCCGCATTCTGATGACCAGCACTTGTACCTGCTGTCAATGCTGAAGTAACTTTCGACATCCCAGCCTGCCTTCCAGTCACACCTTCCCTTCTGTGCACTCCCAGGCTGAATTACAGCTAACCTGAGTTTCTGAATGCTCTTCAAGCACACTTCCTATTCATGATTTTAATTATCAAATATGGATTTTAATTATCAAATGTCATCAGCATACCCAGTAAGGACATTAGTAACGACTATACTAGGACATGAAATTTCCACAAATTTGAGGAACATTTGTCATGACTTCATTTATTTTGATGTTAGACAACAGGTCCAAAAGACACCTAGGTTAGGACCAGACAATCTATGCAGGCCAGTAGCATAAGCATGACTGTCTTATGTTTGCTTCTCACCTGTATATTGCATAAAAACACTTTAAGACACTAAATGGTGGAACAAAAAGCTCCCAGTACAACATATGGGGACAATGGCCCATGTATCAACATTAAGAAAAAACCCAAATACACACTTCCTCCCTCTACTTCAAATGTATTGTCACAAGAGACCCCAACATGGAATCACAGCAAGTGGCTCAGAAAACTGCATATTACAGCTATTTAGCTTCACCTAGAGTTTAGCTTCTGATTTTGCAGCAAAAATTCTCACTGAGCAGCTGAAGACAAACCAAGCTGTTTCAGAAGTTACTTAGTGCAGAAGCAGCCAGTTTAAGACGCCTCCATTAGCAGAGCACCAGAGAGCTGAAAAAAAATCCATCCAGTTCACCAGAAAAATCAATGCAGAATTGAGCATTTCTGATAAGGAATGATTTAAACATGTAAATGCACAAGCACCAGCAGTATGAATAGCATACTAAAAATGTTAACAACAGCTGTGCCACAAAAATATTCAAAGTATGATGGAGTTAATAGTGTGGTCCTTATACTCACTCATGTAACTTTACTTACTTTTACTAGAGTTTGCTGGCAAAAAAATGAACTATAGTTACATGAAAATATGCATATCCAGTGTTACATGTATTTATTCTTTCAGATAGACATATTTACTCTAAACAGCAGGGGGAAAAAAGCAAGCAGAACACTCATTTAAATGGCAGAAAACTAGCAGAAGATGCTAATATGACCTTAGTGTAGCATGTCAAGTGTCACTGCCACCAGCTTCCTAGCCATTTTAAGAACAATCTGCTAAGACAACTAATTACATAGCTTAAAAGATTAGGTCAACAGTGTCAAATACGAGAATATGAACTTGAAATTTAGCCTTTTAAAAATGTGTGTTGTCTATTGAAATGTCTACATCAATTTGTGAAAGAATAGTAAGATTCAGACTTGGTGAGTTACTTCTCAAGAGAAGCAGGGGTTTTACCTTCCCATAAAAGAAACCCAAACATAGCAATTAGAAGGGCTGACAGAATCCTGTGGCTAAGAGAACAGATACACTTGCAGCCTGCTGATCTAAGGACTACTTTAAAAGAAAGCAGGAATTAAAAGTTAAGATTTAATGTAACCCAACTTACAGTAATGGCAATCCTTAAACTGGTATTCTGAAAACTGAAACTGCTTTAAACAAAGAGTGTACTCTAGATTTTTCTTGAATAAAGACAACCTGAACACATTCTTCCGGGACACTTCTTACGATCATATCTTTACCCCTCCCCAGTCAGGTCTACAGCTAAGACTCATAGCTAGAACACTAGCTATTTAGCTAGGACACAGGTTAGTTACTTAGCTTTTAATTCTGGTGCTCCTGCTAAAGCATGTCACCCTCCCCAGGCTCAGTTCTCAGACAGCTAAATTCACCACAGTTCAAGTCTTGAGGGAGTTTCAGCCTCTCTTCTCTTCCTCAAAGCAAGGTAGATGCCTGCTATTTGCCCAGCCAGTCACGTGTTCAGCTGAACTCTTAGCTATGTATAAGACTCGTAAGGTGTCATGCAGAAAAGATGATTAAGTCCTTGTAAGTCTGTTAGTTTTCAAAAGTAGTAGAATTTTTACAGATCCAAGAGAAAAAACAGTCAAGTTTACCAAGAGTATTGCTTACAACTTGTTTCATCCTTGTGCCAACTAAGCAGCCATTCAGACAGAACATATCAGAGCAAATGATCAGCACCAAAGTTCTGCCTTGCAGCACCAGGTACCCATCTGTGGATGAGTTGTCTGATGACAGGCATTAGATGGAGGTGTGCAGAACAAGCTGCAACCCTTCAGAAGCTGCGCAGAAAGCTAAAGTGGCTGCATACAACTAACTGCCTAGCTCTGAAGCAGCTCAAGTTCAGAGAAAGGTCCCTCCCTGCAGTGACCTAGGGGAACACAAAAGCCACCAGCTGGGTGGCCCCATAGCCTAACTCCACCAGGGGCTGACAACAGATGTCAGGCAGCAATATGCCCAAAGCAAGTTTAACATAATGCTCTCCCAAAACATTCTCTCAGCTTCAAGCTATTTATAACTTCACTATCTTCTAAACCAGGGGTAGAGCTGTGTGTTTGATAGCAATGTTTACAGATTTCCCTGCCTGGATTTGCTCAGTCATCATGTACACATTAGATGCCTGGAAATTGCTAGTCAAATTTATAAATAGATAGAGATTTATTTGAAAAAACTTCAACAGGGATAAAAACAGAATAGCAAGATGCCAGCCTATAGGACACTATATAATCAGAAGCAGGGCCTAGGATAACTAATTCATACTTCTCACAGCCACTCACATAATAAGCATATTTTTATTCACTTACTACTGCTACTACAAACCATTTAAGCTACACATTAGTACCCAATAAACTGCATCCAGAGAAGTGTTTATGTGCTAAAATCTAAAAATATTCTTTTTTCCCCCCTCATGCTTAATCCTATGCAAATGCTCAGAACCTTAAGCAAGATTTTCACATTAATACATATGTTTTAAATTACACATACTATCTTTACTGCTTGTGTGGCAAGTAGAGTTCAGTAGGTTGGGTTTTATTGGTTGGTTTGTTTGGGGGTTTGTTGAGTTTTTTAAACTCATATCGATTTGTAAAGATTTGTGTTCTCATGACATGTTATTCATCAGCGCCACACTTAAGGGCTTCTTTACTATGAGAAGCAGGATCCAAGGTAATAACTGTAGGTGGTGTGCACAGCACAAGCAAGACAACTTACACTCAGAAGATTTTGTTTTGACAGAAGCAGACTGCTTGACTTTCACATCTGAAGCTCGCATTCAGTTGGTCTTGCTCGCATGCTTGGTTATAGATCTAATGTAGTCGAGTTGTAGTTTATTTTCACCTGCTTCAGTCAAATTAACCACACATCTACTAAAATGCAAACTGCATAATTTCTGATACAGTTAAAGATTTTGGGCTGAACTGGCAACAAAACTGAGGATTACAGATCTTCCAGTATGTGGCAGAGCTTTACTGAAGTTGGAAAGACATGCTGAACATTGCTGCTAAGTCACAAGCTCAAACTCTTTGATTTTAATAAAGTGCTTCATCAAGAAGCACTTTAACAGTGACACTGTGATGTATTAAAATAAATCAGACTAGCAATACCCCATTTTCATTGTTGCTCAACTGACTGTAATGAAGTCCAAAACCAGGAGTATACTTACTTGTAAGCTTGTTGTGACTCAGAACCAGCTGTGTGATGTGAGACAATGTAACTGCAAATGAAGAGAGAAAGAAGTTAGTTTATGGACAATGCAACTGAAAGCTTGCACCTGTTTCAGCTGAAAAAAAAAAAAAAAGAAAAAAAAAGGGGGAAAGTTATTATCTCCACTCCAGTAACTCCAGTTTCACAAGCACTATCACAATAAAAAAAGACAAGCTCAAGACTTACGGACTTGTCCAGCCACTCCTCTGCTCCTTTACTTCATGTTTAGGCCAGGCTGTACAGGGCCTTGAACAACCTGGTCTAGTGGAAGGTATCCCTGCCCATGGTGAGGGGTTGGAACTAGGTGATCTTTAAGACCTTCAAGGTTCCTTCCAACCCAAAACATTCCGTGATGCTGTGACCTAGCACAACTTGAGTAATAAGTACTGGTGTCTCCAATTCTGGGCACACAAACACCTTTTTCATTCCCACCCTTTCAACACTTCCCAAGTTAAAACTGATAGGTACTCTTAACATTTATTCCAACAGAACACATGACACACCAGCAATTACATTTTCACACATTCCAAATTCATTATCAAGTCACTGCCAGATTTAAGTGCCAAGTATCAATAGCTGCATTTACAACCTCACACCCATGAAGCATGGTAGCAGACTAGCGTTGTTGTGTGGTGAATGATCAAACGACAGCATGCAATATTTACTCAAAATTAACTGAATGATCTGATTGATCAAAGCCCCTCAGATTCCACTTTATTAAACAAATATGCGTGGGGCACAAGACAACTAGAGACCAGCACTCCTCCTACATTTATCCTTGACATTTCTTCCTGCCTATTTCTGCCCTTCACACCAGCATTGTTTTCCCTAGGAGATAGATAGCCCACAGCTGACAACAGTATCTGATCAGAAAAACATGCTAAATAGTCAAGAGGAGAAACTCACACCTTGAAGGAATTCTCAAACATATCCCCCCTACTTGTAAAAAGTTTGTTGTATTTTACTGGAACTAGAAAAAATGTAGAGGTTTTCCTCCACCATGCCTTTTCCTTGCTTCCATTGTAGCCTCTCCAAAGCAGCTCTAGAACATACCTTTATGCCCCTCGTAGGCAGCTGGGAACATTTCCTGCCTGAAGGACAGCTGTAGTGCCATGTCTCTCATCCCTCAGAGCTTTCCTCAAGCAACAGACATCACTAATATTAGCCCAGAGACAGCCCACGCGCATCTTGCTACCTTAGGGAATGAAGATATCCTGGTGAGTACATGTGAAAGATGGCCATGCCAGCCAATACTTACTAAATTGCGATTTGGAGGAAAAAACTTGAAAAGCTTTTACTTACTGATACAGCATCATGTGCCGGCTAACCTTTGAAAGCTCAGGACTTAAAACAGGCAAATATAACCTGTTGGCAGAATGAAAGCAGTCACCGCAGTTCCTAGTGCAATCACAGGTTGTGGAGGAAGGACAGGCAGGAAGGAGGAAGGACAGGCAGGAAGGAGGAAGGACAGGCAGGAAGGAGGAAGGACGAAACAGTGCACCCACCCTACATTCTCTTAAAATATGAGCACTACAAGTATTGCCTACACTGCCACCTCTCAAAGCAAAACAGAAGGACAGAGAAAGAAGACCAAAGAAAGTCTGTAAGAGTACTGTGGAAAAATCAGCATTAAAAGGCAGGCAAGAACAGCATTCTCCCCAAAGAGCTCTAAAACCATAAAGCTCTCTAAAACACAAAAGGCACATCAGCATCTGAACCATAAGCAACCATTTAATACTATTGATTACTTATACATAGAGCTAAACATAGGAATGCAATTCCTACAAAAAAAAAAAATTACAGAAGATGCTTCCTGGCAAGGGTCTGCACCGACCACCCTGCAGGTGCAGGGACTGGAATGTCAAATTGGGCAGCCAGGCACAGAGCGAGTTCTAACAACTTTTGCACTATTTCTTTTTTCCTTTGAAGCCAATGCTTCCTCTGGTTTACTACAGCAGAACAAAGACAAAGGCTGTTACCCCACTTCTGTGGGCTTTCAGTTTTGCACAGAGCTTTGCCAGCTTCAGCACAGAATCCAAAATTCAGATAATCTTTTCCTTGCTGGAGTCCATAATGAACTTCATTACTTTAAAGCCAGCAATCCCCATTATATGCCTTTTAATAAATCAGCTAGACCAACTTGAGAAACTATATGAGGAAAGGCTCAAATTCAGCTCATACATCCACCAATACGATGCCATTTATCAACTCTTTTCTGCCACCTGTTCTATGATCAGGATCTGACTTCTATGAAGGATCACTTGTTAAGACTAAGACTAGACATGTCCAAGGCTACCAAAATAAAGCTCTTTAAGGCAGCAGTAAAGAGGTAATCCTGATTGTGCCCCACAAAGCAAAACATCCATTTAAAGCACACAAATCAGAATGACAACTCACACAGAAAATACTAAAAGCTGCTTTTAGTCTGTTTCTGTGCTCAGAATGTAATCCAGTATTTAAAATAAAAACCATGATAAATCATATTTATAACTCCTGCAAGAAGCCAGCTTATCAGGAGACACCACTTGTATCCAACATATTTGCACCACAGAAGTATAGTCTCTGAAATGCACTAAGTGTGAGACAGCAGCACACATGCAAGTACTTGCTCTGGATCACTTACAAATTGAACTAAAAAATGAAAGAGTAAGAAATGTTTTATTAATAGAGAACTGAAGGCGGACCTTGCTCTAATCCATGTGTACACAAATGATGAACCTTTCCTGACATGATTTTATCATTTCTATACACAAGAAGCGAGGATGCGTTTTCAAGGGCAATTAAGCTTTGGGGCTGCAGACTCAGGTCTTCTGAACATCAACATCCTGCTGAATTTGAGTATCATAAAATGTTCTGTGCATATTTAAAGGTAAGCCTGTGGACTAAACCATCAAGCCATGTGTACTGCTGGCCTTTAACAACACAAGCTTACAAGCATTATTCTCAATACTCCCTCTCCATATTTGTCACATTGTCTTCTTCAACAAGTCTATTCTCAATACGGTTTCGTCTCACATGTCTATGCAGAATAGAATAAAGTCCCAACATGAAAAATTTCAAGGCCAAGATTCCTAGACCAAAGACATTTCAATCTGGACTCTACTACCCAAATGCGACTGAAACTTAGACACCTTGTCTGAAACTATCCCAGTTAATCTCGATGTGTGACAAAGAGCCCCACTGCATCTTTGGCCTGCAAAGCAGGCTCACATCTCCCAAAGGAATAAAAAAGGCAACGTTCCACTGTTAGTTTGAAAAGAGCAAAGGTTTAGGCATCTGTGCTCTTCCAGTAGCACTTTAGTCATATCTAGATAAAAAGATCTTCAATATTGAAAGGTGCAAAGCTACTACCAGTCTGGAGACAGATTTGCAAGCATTTAAGAAAGGGAGCCTGGTTATAAAGCAGCATTTGGTCACTCATACAAGGAGGGGAATTTGCTCACTTACATGAAACTGGCCTTGTGTGAAACAAGTCTGGAAATGCCATTTTTTTCATCACACTGGCACTCACCTAATCCTGTGAGGAGTACTGTGCAGCGGGAACAGCTGGCTGTGGTTTTCCTTATCCTATACACAAAGTCAGCTTTTCATGACAACTCAACTATCAGTACTTCTGATAAAGACATTTGTCTTCAGCAACTAATTAACATCCCCAAGTATCATCTAGAAGGCTGAAGGGGTCCTGGTGGAGCCATTTTGCTTCAGACGTGCAGCTCAGGTAAGCCTAACCGGCAGGACTTGCTGAGCATCACTCCACAGGTGATGGAGTGAACTGTAATCCAGTATTCACCCCAAGTGCCAGCCCCCTAGGATTCAAACGGCACCACAGTTCCTATGGGGGAATTACTGTAATCTGTCTATGATGACACTTGGAGGAGCACCTAGATGTTAAACACCAGCTCTTTCAGGACTGCAGCCCTCAGATCAGATGCCTTGTTAACATTACAGTAATGAGTCCACAGGCAGCAAGTTATTTTGATTTCAAGAATGCACCAGATACCCACACAGAAGTTTGAGGGTCAGGATACTAACATTTACCAGAGAAATTGATTTGCATAGTAATAAGAAGTTCTCATTATGGTCTCAGTCTCATCATTGCTTCAAAACAGACTGTGTCAATGGAAGAATATTAAAGCTGTTCCCTTTTGGCCTTAGTATCAAGCCTTTTATATACTTATGTAAGTTTACTTTACATAAAATATTTAGACGACAAAACTACATTTTTTAAAAAGAAAAAGGGGGAAACAAACCAACCCCCAAACAGGAAGATCTTGTTGAACCAAGATAAGCCATTGTCTGTCCCATTGGAGGAAGTTAATGCAGGATGAGCATTAACAGTATTGTACAAAATGACTTACAAGTATTGTACCCCTCCATCTTCTGTGCTTTGGTTATTTTAGGAGCAGGCAATTACATAAACACTAACTTTCTGATAAGTAATTCTAGGCATGTTAATTTCTACCACACACCATGTACTTTATGTAAAATATGAATAGCTTGCAGATGGAATGATAACAAGAGCATATTAACACTTAGAGAGTAAACAGCATTTCATCCAATATTCCTTTACTGACTGTAAGACTACAGAGGACCAGATGTCTCAAGTTATCTGGGCAAAATAATTCCTTAACTCATAGCTTTCCTATATCGATCACTTAAAGATACATAAATGAGAGATCAGAGACTGGTCCCTGCTCCAAAAACAATTCCCTCACTGTTGATGGCTGTTTAAAGTCCTACCCATAATTGCCCTAGCCATCAGGGTAAGGGAAAAGATGCATCACGCCCTAGTTGCTGAACCCAATTGTTCATCCTACAGGATGTCTGTTTATGCTAACATTACCTGCCTGTGTTGGGTTCTTTGTAAACAAATAGATCCATTTATTTCACAATATGCAATTATACTTAAAGAAAAAAAAAAAACAGAACCCAAACCATTAGACCATTTCCACAGGGCAAGGCATTTTTAAAACTTTTCATGTATGGATGACAGCTATAGTACAGATGTGCTCATAATTGGTGCATTCATCTTATTGCATGCCAGAAGAGGGAGAAAAGCCTTTAAAGTTTAAAACTGTTTTGCATGGTCTTTACATTAGTATGACAAACTAAAGCATGGAACACCCAGATCAAGGAATACTCATAGTCTCAAATCTTTCCTCTACAGAACATCTTTTAGAAGAGCTTTCTCATATTACATTTATGAAAGCCTTAAAAATTCTGATGCTCTGAAGGCCTGTAGCACAGTTTTAGTTTGTCCTTTAAGACATTAGGAGAAAATGCGGAAGTGCCTGGATTCGAGGAATATTCCAAAAATAGAACTCAACTTCTAATGGCATTAATGAACTCCTGAGCAAGCAGCATTTCAGGGACTAGTGGGCTTTTCTTTGTATACCTGAGCATCACATTATAAACAAGCTGACAACTCCACTCTGCCTTTATTAAACACAAAAGTGGGAACAGATGTAGAGGCTGCAAAGCTTGTAAGTCTAAGTTAACTTAAGACGGTTTCAGATACCAAGTGTTCATCTCCATCCATTCCACCCTGATTTGGAAAAAGACATTGGTACTTGACAGAGGCAAGTTTAGTCTGTTTTTTTCTCTCCCACACCTGCTCCAGAAGGTAGAAGTCAAGACAAAAGAACTACGAGTGGCTGTCCTGCATTGTATCAAGTCATTCACTAGACTGGAAAGAATCCAGAAAAAAATCCTATCCAAGTCAGGGCATATATTCCCCATTCTCTTTTCTCCTCTCTGCCCCCATGTAACACCAGTTTTCTCTGATCACTTATGGTTGTTTTCTGAGTTTGTTTGCTTTTAAGCACACAAGACAAGAATAGGTCTGCACATAAAAGAAGAGGATTGGCACACTGAGCAAGATGCTACACATTGTGCTGCTGTTAAATCCTTGTGTCATGTAAATTAAATTAATAAAGCTTACATAGGAGTCCACTAGCCACTCTGCAGCAAGTACTCACATATGCAGTGGAACAAGGCTTGGTCCTTTTCTTGAAGGATAATGAAGACTACAGGGAGCAGTCTACTTTAAAGAGTTACTGACTATTGTGGGAGGGACATTCACAACCATTAAATAATTACATAAGATAAAATCCCTGTCAGGGGCTATTGAACACAGTAATTTAGGAGTATCCTCCAACCTACTAAGTCCTTAAACCTCAAATGGCCAAAACCAGTGAAAATGCCACCAAAATGTTCCCTCCAGTCATAAAGTTATCCTTATCTCCAAACATCTACTAGTGGCCTTCATTAATAACAAGATGCTGTAAAAGAACAGCCATTGGGTATGAATCATGATGGCTGTTTTTAACAAAGACCTTTATTTCATTGAATAAAACCACAAAGTTTCTGAAAAAGCAAGCTTTAACACCACATTGAATTGGAAAGATACCCAACACACCAGCTCACTCATTTAGCTTCCCTGCCAGTTCTGAGAGCCAGAGAGCCAAACCACCCCATCTATACCAGAAAAGATCATCCACTAGGAGCCAGATGACACGGTTAGAAAGCCGTCAAGTTTAACATCTTCTCAAACCATTCCGTAAAATTCACAGGTAATATCAAGTCATTACTTTTTTTAATGTGCATTTGGAGGAAGTAATTCCTTCTCCAGATGGGAAGTGGCAAATACTTTGACAATTAAAAAAAAATACAAAACAACAAAACAAAACCAACCAACCAAAACCAAACAAAAAAATAACCAAAACCAAACACCAAAACCCCAACTTATAAAGCTTTCTCTGCCAGAGCGCATAGTAACTGAAAAAGCAACATCACAATTGAACAAAAAGCAGTCATCACTGCCCCCTCCCCTAATTTCCATCTCAAATTGGAGAAGACCACACATCCCCATGCTATATCACGTCACACAATGTGCACCAAGAGTATCTGCATACAGACTTCTCTGCTGCAGCCTAACTGGGGTATCGCAAGTCTACACCTCATGCAGGGAGCCCCCTGCAAAACAAGCTTCAGATGCTCCATTAGTCATCTGGCATCAGGGACAGGGCCTTGAGCAACCTGATCTAGTGGGAGGTGTCCCTGCCCATAGCAGGGGGTTGGAACTGGGTGATCTTAAGGTCCTTTCAAACTCAAACTATTCTATGACTGCCCGTGGACCACAATGTTGCACACTGTGGTCCCTGACCCTGTCTGCACAACTCACCCAAAACAGTCTTCGCACAAGAACAGCTTTTCTTACTTCAGTGCTACTAGTGTGCTTTACTGCTACCTTTCTTCCCCCACCTGAAAGATTAAAGCTGGGTAATTAATTATGTGCTTTAGTCTACTTAAAAGCAACACTGCTCTGGTGCTGCACCATACTCTGAATGCATTAGTTTATCTGAAAGGGGTAAGCATAGTTCTGAAAGCAGGTCTGTAAGACTACTCTGTCTCAAACAACTGTTCATCCAATCAAAATAGAGTGAAGCTTTCTGTTTAACATGAGTTATATACATATATACAAGCTTTCCAATGTAATCTTTCTGAAAGCCCACACGCAATTCTGAAGCATACAGAACCTAGGTTCTGCACAACTGTACTTAAGTCTTCATCTTTTCCTGATGTGACTGATGCTTAGTAAACAGCTAAACCAGGATATGGGTACAGTTTCAAGTTGGTTAGTTTGGATTCTGTTTTCTTCTCATTGTATCACAGAGGAAAATTTCCGCCTGTTGCACACTAGCCAGTCACAGCTTTAATTCACTCTGTATCAGCTGTACCATAACATTATACACACTCCTAGCCAAAGCAAAAATAAGAAGTTACCTGCCCTGCACTTCATGTAAGTGCTCTCCAGAACCATGACAGCATGGAACTACTGGTATGTTGCAACTGCTGTAGTTGATTTATAGTAAATGAAACACACCATGAAACACGCTGTCACAATTCTGGAAGCACATGCAATCATGTAATACCCAGAGATGCTACTACTGTATCTGTAGTACAGTACTACCTTATTCTCCCCCAGAGACCAGCCACGTGTAGCTCCAGGCTGGTATGACCTATCCCTTTGAAAAAGTGGAGTGCAGATGCTCCTTGGTAGTTTTTGCTTCAGTAGCAGGGAGGGGCAAGGACGGGCAGGAAGCAAAGTCTCCCACCACTCAAGTGCCAGAATGAGAGCACTGAGAAACGAGGCACTCTGCAGGCTCCAGGTGATGGAGAGACGGGTAGGGGTCCCAGCTCCCCACGCCGGTCTCTCCGGTGCAGCGGCTTAGTGTTTGATCGTGACCACGCTCACGACTCGTTACGGTGCTGTGGGGCGCTGGTAGCAGGGCGCTTCCCCCTGCGAACGAACCTCTCCCTGAGCCCCCGATGCCCAGAGCTCCCATACACCGCGGAACACTCAAAGAAGGCTTGGGCAGCCCCACCGCCGCCGCGGGGCCAGGGCAGCCGCCGGCAGCGGGGAGGTCCTACCACCACCCTCACCCCCCTACCCCCCCCGCGCCCCGGATCGTCCCGGGACAAATAAGGAAGTTTCCGCGCTCTCCCCGCCCGCCGCCTCCGGTACCTACAGAGGCCGGGAACATCCAGCATGTTGGAGATGCCGCGGTCGCACATGTCCACCTCGGGCTGGTTCTTCTCCCTGCTCTCCTCCACGATCTTCTTCAGCGACTTAGACATGGTCTGGGCAGGGCAAAAGCGGACACCGTGAGGCAAGAGGCGGCCGGGGCGCCGCCGGGACACTGCGGGGACGGGTCCTGTCCCGAGGGGGCCGAGAGCAGAGAGCCCGCCCGCTCATGTGCTCTGAGCCGCCCCAGGGATCCCGTCCCGTCCCGACTCCACCCGCCCTGTCCCGTCCCGTGCCGTGCCGCCGCGCCCGCCCCAGCCCAGCCCAGCGGACCCCTGACCGGGATACCGGCCACACTCCCGGCCCTGGGCGGAGGCACGGGCCCGCCGCTGCGGCCATGGGAACTCACTGCGCGGTGCTGCCCCGGTTGGCAGCCGGACGCGGCGGGACGACAGTCAGCGGCCCCGAGGGCGGTTCCCGGCAGCTGCACACGCCCGCCCCGCCTCACCAAGCCTCATCCCACCGCCAGCCCCGCGCAGGCGTGCTGCGGCCCTGCCCCGGGAAGCGCAGGCACTCCCCACGCCTCCTCAGGGCCCCTGCCCGCCCAAGAGGTTCCACCCACGGCTAAGAAGGCGTCGGGCCAATCAGGGCGCCTTCCTCGGCGCAGGACAGCTGACAATTGGCTGGAGGGGTTGGAGGAAGGTTCGCAGGCCAATAAGCACGCCCCGTAGGTGGCTCGGCTCGGCTCGGCTCGGCTCGGCTCGGCTCGGCTCGGCTCGGCTCGGCTCGGCTCGGCTCGGCGGATCCTGCTTTCCGGGGCCGCAGTCCTCGTCGTGTTCGGGAGTTCCGCGCTGCTGCTGTGCGGGCTGAGTGCCATTGCCAGGTTTGAGGGAGTCTTGCCTCGGAGGGCAGCGCAGGCCTGTGTGAGGAGCTGCTGTGTACGGCACCTTAGGAGAGGGAGCTGTGCTCTCTTCATGCTGCCGCTCTGGTGGCGGCAGTTCCTCACCGTGCTCACTAGGGGCGCGTGTGCGTCTGGGGGTTAGGTAACGGGTTAGCGCCATGCGTGAGGGTGATCTGTCCTTTCCCGTTACTAGCCTGGAATGCTTACACACCTGGCTTTTCAAAATGCAGCTTTAACACCCAATTCCATTTCTGTAGCACGTGAAAAGCGCTGTGCAAGTGTTAACCCAAGAAGGTGGGTTGTGGTCAAAGCACCATTTTGCACAGAGGAGAAATGCGCATTCGGGGAGCTCCCACAAAGCACCTGCAGCAGCAGCGGCTCCCCGTGCCAAGGTCTGGAAACCAGCAGGTCTGTGCGTACGGTGGCTGGGCAGCTTCATGCCCCACCGGGTCAGCAACAGGAGAATGGAGAAGCTGCCAAGCCATAGAGCTGGAAAGCTCAGAATGACCAAGTAAGGTTTGAGGGCACTGAAGTTTGGCAAAGGCTGCCCTAAGGCAAAAGAGTTCATCGAATCAATGTTTTCCATTTCTTCAGGTACGGATTTTCTAGTCAGCTTAGTCGCAAAACTGTTCACAAGGCTGGGCCCAGGTTCAGTACTTTTAACTGACCTTATCACCATGATGCTGGAGTTACAGCCTTACTGCCCATGATGTATTAGGGCATGTGAGTTCTTTGACGGAAGTTAAGAAATTCCTATTTACTGTCATTTGACAGCTATGCAAGCTCAGAGAAATTAATTGCAATCTATAAAATTGCCTAATGCCGTACTACACATTGAGAACCTCAGTCTTGACTTTTGCATATGCGCTCCCTAAACACTGCATGGTGTTACAAGCTTAAAGAGAATAATAACCATAGAAACCACAATGATGAATGTAAAGGTACCTAAACCAGGAAATGAGAAATACTGCTGGAGGTGCAGCTTTAGCTTTTCCTTTTTAAGGAATGTAGGGATTTAATTCTGAGTTGCAGAATTGAAGCACATTTATCGATAAGTGGTGTTTACTACCTTGAGTCCTTTCCTCAAGTTACAAGCTGCCAGAACACAGATGGAAGAACTTCCTTTTATCTAGATTGCTCAGCAGAACACATGGTCACTCCGATGTACAAGACAGTGACATACAGTTTCTCTTTGTCTGCAGGAACATTAATTCGAACCCTTTTCCTGTCTAAGAAAATGCCCTAATTGCCAGTAGTCAGTTGTCTTAGAGACCTAGGTGCTAGCATGTGTACTGTTCTTGTTTCACAAAGAATGAATGATTGCGGGCTTCATTTAGTAGCAAAGGCTTAGGCTCTATTTTATAGATCTATTGTCTATAAAATATGATCCTAACTTGCTTATTCCAACAAACAGATAAAGCACACGTTAACTGTGACAAGATACTCATGAAACAGTGTCTTCTTGGCTAATGAGAAGCTCACCTGGCTTCCGACTGCCCCATTTATGCAGTAATAAAAAACAATACCCTATTACATTGTAAGTGTCAACAGTCTAACCCTACCATAGAAGTATTTAACTACTCCCCACTTAATAAATGTGTTGCCATTACAGCCTTTAGTCAGGATTTGTTTGTTTGGGTTTTTGTTTGGTTTTGTTTGTTTGTTATCATGTACCTAATTTCATTATATGTAAATAGTTCATGTATCACTCCCACATTCTGTGTGATCTAATTTGGTTCCTGCTTTATCAAACCCTTCATCTGAGTCAACGCACTAATCAATACCTTAGTCAGATCCACACTGGATTTGGCAAAGAGGAGTTGCTATCAAGCCTTCCTGTTAAAGCTTCTCAGCTCCTCATGAAGCACTAAATATCAATTATATGAGAAGGAGGATGGATAAGAAGTACACATGCCATGCTGTCTGAGGTTCACGTTATTCCTCTGTCTTGAAAGCTTAACTTTCAGGTTGCTCCATCAGCAGTCATACTCTTGAAGAGTAATTTCCTGCAGAGTGCCTGTGCCATGGCAGTAGCCCCATCTCCCCTCTTACCGTGTTCCAGCTCTTCCCAGTGCATCCAGTTGTCTCACAACCCCTTTGACTCCGGATAATCCTTAGCACCTTCTATACCTCCAGCTAGAGAGGCTGGTCAGCCTGTGCTTGGGGACTGCCCAGTGAAGCTCTCCCCTCGTGTACAGTGTTTCAGCTCATACATGGTACAGGCTTTTCCAATTTAGACTTCGCTGTACTTCCAGCTACTGATTTTTTGCTTATGAAACAGCTATAAAACATCTCTGCTATCTGTCAGATTTGTTCTTAAGTTTGTCACTTTGTTTAAATGTCTGTAGAGCAAATGCCTGAATTCTTTGCCAGAGGGGGGCATGTGCCTTCTGTCCTTGGGACAGCAGGCTGACATGGGTGGCTCTGAGGTGGATGCGTGGCCAGGATGGTGTGGCAGAGCTGTAGCTGCTTTGGGGTGGTAAGAGGAGAGATAAGTTGCTCTCTGTGTGGGTTCCCCTCAACCTGCTCCACCCAGGCAGCGAGAACTGGATGTGCCTTCAGTCATTGTGCTGGGGAACAGCAAGGGGATGAGCAGCTCTGATGCTGCCCTTGCTCTGGCTGTCCTAGGTGGCTCTTCTAACCAAGGAAATGAGGCTTTGCATTATTATTCTATTTATACCTCCTTTTTTCCTCTCCAAGAAAAGCTGTCATAATAGTTAGTATTAATGGGGGGTTAGCGTACCATCACAACAATACTACAGCAGTGTGCATCTGCAGAACCAGTTGTGTACAGCATTACAGTTGCTATGTGTGATAACTGTCACATAGTATTTGTTTTATTGACCTTGCCTTGTAAAAGCAAAATTTAGCCTTTATTTTTATTATCAGCTAATAAATAAACATTTATTTGTTAGTAATCCTGCATTGTTGCTGCTGCTGTTATTATCAGTAGTCAATGCTGTGAGTTTTTGTTAGATTTCATTTTAATCAGGACTGCAGAAGAATTCTGTGGTTTTAGTTTGGTAGCTGACAAAAAATAGTTACACTAAATATGTTAATTCTGATGCCTAGGACACTTACCTTGAGTTACTGTGGGAAACTAAGACGGCTCCTTCTTTGTTTTATGAGTTGAGTGAAAACTGTTTTTCAGTCAAAACTGCTTTTGTAAATTCAACTAAAATTAGCTAACATTTTAATTTGACCAGCACTATGATTTCTAGTATTTTAGGTGTATATCTTCTCTCTCCTTTGCTTCAAGTAACTATAACCCCAATGGTCTTGTTGTGGTATTACTTCTCATTTATTGTTTATAAAGAATAGTCCTGCCCCTGGGAAGGGCAATTGAAAAAAATACTGTTTCAGACCTTTTAGAGCTTGTTCTTCAGTCCTAGCCTTATTACTCATATATAACTGTCTCAAAAATATACCTCCGTATAAGAATAAATATGTATAGTAACATGTAGAAGACTATTTACATGTAAGTAAAAAACATGCAGGCTCTAGGAAGTGAAAACATGCACATTCGTTATCTGTGCTTTGTCATTGGCAGGGGAAGGTTTTTTTGTATATATGCCAGTATTATAGTACAGACATGCAGTATTCACAACTACTAAGACATGATTTATAAAATAGACAGCAGTGTGCACAGACATAAAAGCAAAGATATTCACAGCAATATTGTGAGATGAAGCCATAAATATTATTAAACACAGGCTTTGTCTTTTGAATTGTACACTGCAAAAAACATGTAGAAGTTTCATGGAATAATTATTCTTAAGTTATCTGTTGTTCCTGTTTGCTTCTGCTGTGCATTCATTGTAAAGCAAGTGTTTTAAATGACTTCTTACCTTCCAAGGCAGAAACATGGCTTAGCATCAGCTCTGTCCTCTGAGGACCTCCACTTTAATACTTCTGCAGTGGTATTTCTGTTGTGGTTCCTCATACAAAATGTTAGAGGACTGCAGTGGGTTACTTTGTTTCTGTTTTTTTAAAGAATGGGTTTGATAATTTACTCTAATTTTAGACTTTGACTATTTTTGGCAAGAGTCGGTTGGGCTAGATCAATTGAACCTTGTACCAGCAGCTTCATTCAACAGTCTGCATGTGCACAAATTCTCTGCTGTTTGTTCTAAAGAACTTTATGCATTTTACCTATTTGTAAATAAAGTTATTGACACAGGTATGGAGTATTTGTGGCATCTAAAGATGCACCAAGCATTAGTTATTGTTAGATTAAAAAAAAAAAAAAAATAATCTTACACATTTCTCTTCCATTCATAGTGCTCTTTTGTCTTCTGCAGAAGCAAGTATTTAACATATCAAAAAGCGTACAGAAACATTTTAAGTGAAACGTGCTTTTTCTGTTGGTGAAACAAATCTTTCTGAAGTACAAATTTAATTGGGTTAACTGCGGCTCCTGTCTAGAGATCAAGGCCAAAGGTCGTGTTACCAGATGGCCTCACACACATCACGGGTCACCGGATCGCCCTATGCACTATTCTCTAAGTCAACAGCAGGGCAGCTGCAGTGTGGGGAGCATGGCCATAGGGTTGTCCTGGGTAGACTCACCTTTGTGTCCATCAGCTGTGACACGTGGCTGATACCAGTCTCGCAAAGCCATTAATGAACTTCATTCATTAAAACACTGTATAGGT